CAGGTATACCATGCAGCATGACTTAAGCTACTATATAAAAATAATAAAAGTCATGTATATCCCATGCAGTTTTTTCCAAAAGCAACTTTTCTAACGCTTATAGAAAAGCCCTATTGGCTAATACTAAATACTACCTCTACATAAAATGGCAGTTACTATAATAAGCACCACCCATATTCGTATTTTAAAATCCAGAGAACAACGTTTCATCATGTGCTTTCCTTATCATCCTATGATTTGTCAAATGAAAGATACAGCAATTGGAATAATTGGTACTGAAATTGACACTTTCGACTAGGATTGGCTAAAAGTTTTACAACTGAGGATTAACACGCCCATACACAGTTTTATAAAGAAAACAGACTAGAAGAAAGTTTAGATACCAATCATAGATGGCAGAACCAGTGCTGAGGTGAAAGGAAATATCTTAAAAATTTTTTGAAAAAAACATTTCTTCTTAGAGGGAGCTTATTTACAGTCTAAAACGTATTTTAGGAATTTCTTCATTAAATTCCTCTTTAAACTTCATTAAAGAATACAATTTTGTACAAATAATTGAATGTTATGCTATTATTTATAAAAATAAAATCAGAAATCCATTAAAAGATAATTCTCTATCATTTTTTCAATTCACAAGTGCACACTTGCATTGCCTACTAAGGAGGTTAGTACCGGTAGTCATCGGGTTAATGAAAAAGGTATACATGGTATATTAGGCTAAAGGCATGAATGGATGTTGAGACAAAGCATGTAATACCACCCAAACATCCCAGTTGGGTAATTCAAAACGCCGTTTGGGATGAAGGACTCCAAATGATTGGAGATGGCCAGATAGCACTGTGGATTCAAAAACTTTCAACGTTGAGAAATAACCAAAAGCAGTCAATAAAGCTGCCTTATATAAAGTGACAGTAGATGAAGCCAAACCCGAGTCAAAACACCAGGTCAAAAAATGAGATATAATGGGCACTTCTGTGTGAAGTGGGTTCAATTTCGTCGTGAGACACCATTGGTTATAAGTGTGCCATTTCCACTGATAAATGGGCACTGTGGGTCTATGGATAAATTGAGATACACACAAGGCAACTTTAGAAGTCAAAACCCCAATGCCATGCAAAGGACCACATAATTTCCATACATGAAGTTTGAGCTTGGAAAAGTTTGGGTGTAGAATGCTGGATCAAAGTTGTCTCAACAGAAATAGCCAAAGATGAAGAGGCAGAGGTGAACCCTCTTGAAGATACTGTAGAAGAGGAAACAATGGTTGGGCCAGCCAATCTGGGGCTACCAATAGCTCTCAAGTAGAGGATTGAATCATAGCTAGAACTCTTGGTAACAGACGAATTTGATTAAAGGCATATAGGTGCAATCCCATCTAATCTTGACTTAATGCATCTATCGCCAGAGCCAGAGGAAGACCAAAATGGCCAAGACAGGTGTTCTGCTATTAAATTCATCACCGCTGGAACATAGCAAGCCAGGAGGCTGATATGATGGGAGTTAGCCAAGTAGAGAATATCCAAAGTTTGAAAATAACAGTCCCGAGAATGTGTCCTCCCACGACGGGAATGTAAGAGACCACTATGGAATTGATAGAAGGAATCATGATGATTTTCCCCTGACATAGATCTATACCTTGAACCACTGCCTGCTGGACAGCAAGAAGTTCTAAATTATTGATCTGGAAGGAAGATTCGTCTTCATTCCATAGGCCCTGGAATTCCTGACCTTCAATATATGCACCCCATCCCTGAAGTGAGACATCTGTGAAGAGATGAAACTTGGGATGAGGGGGTGGTATAGGCACACTGATGGTGGTGTTGATCTGATAGAACCACCAATCGAGAACTAAGCTGTTGTTCCTGATTAAGTAGACTGGATGACCCAGTGGATTGGAATTCATGATCCATTGTTCACGCAGTGACCATTAAAGGGACCACATATGTGCTCGTCCCGAAGGAATCAGAGAATCGAAGGATGTCCACATCTTCAAAAAAGATAGAACCATCCACGTGAGTAAGAGCCTGACTGACTGTTTTATAGGCTGGAGCCGAATGAGAGTTGGCTGAACTCGGATTAAAACATGTTGAAAAGGACACCCAGATGAACAATATATTAAGTCAGCAAGAGAATGGATTTCTTGGCTCTGATAAGAAAGCCAGCCTTGGTGGCTTCTGAAAGGAGAATCTAGGTGTGTTGTTCTGCCAATTGACGAAATGGTGCCAGAAGTAACCAGTCATCCAGATAATGGAGTGTGCACAGGCCCAAAGTATGAAGGTGACAAAAACAACTTGTACGACTCGGCAGAAGACACATGGTGCAGATTCTAGGCCAAGGAGTAGAGCCCTGAACTGTAGAACCTGACCCCTGTGCACGAAACATAGATAGTAGCAGGATGACTTCACTATGAGAATGTGGAGATATGCATCAGCAACATCAAACTTGGTCATCTACAGACCACGTGAAGAATGCCAACATAGGTTGAGAAAGGACTACATTGTGAACCTGGAAGAAGCTAAGAATTGGTTGAGACAAGAAAGATCAATGATTGGCTGCCAATCTCCCATCTTCTTGGGCACAACAAATAAATGGGAATAAACTCCCAGAAGAATGGGATCAACACTCTCTACCACCCCCTTGATCAATATCTCTCTGATAGCCTTGGAATGAAGATCCACACCCCACGGATCTGTTGAGGTTTAAATACCACAGGTTGGGAGAATAATGGACCCCAACACAGAACCTGAAGTACCCATTAATTGTTGTAACCTCACTCCCACAGACCCCACCCACATAGGGTAGTCACCGACAGCATTGTCAATGGTCTGCCCGAGCTGAGGAGCCTTAAAATTAAGGATGGAATACTAACAGGTGGAGGAACAGAAGCCGGGGTTGGGACACACAATGAGCAGTCGTCGTGTCATGACTTCCAGCAAGAGCCAAAGAAAGTCTAGAGGCCAACAACAACGAGGAAAAAAGCAAACGGGCAATTTGTGATTCCAATGCCTCAACCAAGTATGTTAATTATCACAGCACTTGTGTAGAGAAATCCATTTTTAAATGCTTTGTAGAGAAAAAAGTGATAAAATTATCTGAATGAGGTTCTTAGATATACAGTACCAGGATAGATGGCACACTGATGTAGGTGGAGAGTATATTGCCAAGGGCAATTGGAGGGGGTAAAAAAAGATTGGAGCAAGCGAGGAAAAATCAGACCAATGCTTAGATGGGCAAAGATTGAAACCCTGGTGGTCAAGTAATAGCTATAAGTGGCAGCAGAGGTAAGTGTGTTTTGGAATTATTATTCTTTAGGTATTTTAGTAAATCGATCAAAGGCAATGCTGTTTGCCTAAATAAAAGCTATATCCACTTCCAGCATATATTGATGCCACATTAAGGGCTTCATATTTCAATACTTCTTGCATATGGTAATATACATATGCAGAAATTTAATAATTATAGCAAATCAATCAGAAAACAAAACAAAAAAGGAATAATATTTTAACAATAATTCTAGGATTTTTTGCTTTTAGTGCCCCTGAAATTGTAAATTATCAACTGTAATTAATATGCCTGGTTAAGGAAATGTGGTTATTCTATAAAGTGCAACGATTTCTTTGAACCAATCTAACAATTAACAAAATTAATCTACTTACAACATAATAATGAAGTAATATTCATGAATATACATATTGTACATAATCATAACTACACTATTTAAGCAGTCTAATTTATGTCAATCTACTAGCTTGTTGATTTAGTGATCTAGTAGCTTTGAGCAATTTCTTTAATGTTCTAGTACCACATTCAACAATAATATTATCTTTATGTGTTACATTTGCAATAAGAAACTTATATAAATGAATTAGTTGAAAAGTATTTTGATTACCTAATGTACAGATAACATTCTTCTAATACCCCTTGTTAAAAACTTATAATTTAAATGCTATACAAATAAAATGGTTTACAAATAAACCAATACTCAAATGACATATATTTTCATTAAAATTGAAAATACAAAATTTCTAGTTAAGATAATATGACACTGTTAAATCATAAAATGTTTGACTGAGAAAATTAGAACTTGAAGAAATAGTAAACTTACATAAAGAACAACAAGTTTATAGTTTGTGAAATAACATATACATGCAAAACATTTATTGGTTTTTGTTGAAAGCAATGAAAAGTAACTGGAGAGCTATCTGAGCTACCAGTCCTTAATTATGAAGTGACAAGCTAGAGGGAAGGAGTCAACACCACCCACAACCAACTTTTGGGCTACTCTTTTACTAATGAATAGTGGGGTTGACTGTCACATTATAATGCCTCATGGCTGTAAGGAAGAGCATTTTCAGTGATGGATTTCATTCCCATGGTCTGCAGATTGAGAATCAAGCACCCTAATCACCAAGCCATGACAAGTTGTTAATACATGAACATAACAAAAGTCACTGAATCCTTCAAATCTGCATGATGGTGAATAAAGAATAATCTTTTATAGACTACAAAACCACAACAGCATTTAATTTTTTATTAAAATTTGACATAATGTTTTATACACACACACACTTTGCAGACCTTAGTTATTTTGTTTATTTTTTTAAATTACATTAAAAAAAGACCATAAAAAACAGCAAATTTCAAAACATTAATCCAGCCAAAGAAGAGGTTGCCACTCTGGTTAGATGGAAGAAACAACGATAGCAAAGATATTAGCAAAACTAGGAAATGTTCAAAGGTAGCTCTAAGAAAAGCTACAAGAAGGATAGGTTTAGAGCCCAGTTGCTCTCAAGACTCAGCACTAAGAAAGGCTACAAGAAAGAAAGGCCTAGAGCCCAGTCACTATCTAGACTTAATACCAAAAAAAGCTAAGAAACAAGTGTAAAAAATTAAAGAAAAAAACAAATTAGAGAGCAAGAATGGGAGCACGAGAAAGTAAGGAAACAAAGTAGGGATAGGCAGGATAACATTAAAACACTTGGTGGTTTTTGACACAGTGCAACCTCAAAGTGGGTGTGGCCATCGTTCTGTCCATTCTTACTTTGCGTTTTACTTTGGACTTTGATCGTGTTATAGACTTGAATTGAGTTTTATCAATAGCTAAATACTGAACAAATTTAAAAATTAAAAAAATCAGTAGTTTGATACTATTCTTTTGGCCTACCCCTTACCAGTCACATAGCCATAATGTGTTCCATAAGCAAAGTATGACTACTGGAGCTTCAGGTCTCACTTTCGATATCAACCCCCCCCCTCTAATGATGTCGTGCATTTCATTAGGGTCAAATAATTTGATTACATAGATGTATCTGTACTTGGTTGCTGAAACAAAGTTTATAACAGCGAAATTTAGCTATATACACCTTTAATTTAGTTTGAACAATTACCAAGTTACAAAAAGCACATGAAGTAGGAATGGGTGGAATGAATGCCACACTCACTTAAGAGGTTGCGCCATATCAAAAGTCACCAAGTGTTGTAATGTTATTCCACCCATTCGTACTTCCTAATTTTATTAAACATTTTTTACAGTTTTAAACTTTACACATATCATTTATCAGTATAAAATAATTCAACTGTATTGAGACCCACTTACTCCACTGAATGTAACAAATTTTAACATACAAATAAATATGTAAAGAATTGTGTATTATAAATAATTTACTTACCACATCATTTTCTGACCAGGAGTGGACATCATGATCATACAGTCTCTGCAGGTGAAATGAAAATTTTCAAAGCACATTATAAAGGAGACAAAAAAAAAGCTCAAATGTTATATCTGAACATTTACTAAATTACTACAGTTAAACATCTCATTTTAATTAAATTGCAAAAGTATACTTTCATTCTCTTTTGAAACTTGTGAACAGATATTAGGGGTGTGTACCTCATCATAGTAGTCAATACGAGGTGTATCTAGATATTGATGCTTGTCTATTATTTATTTTCTATATTACTAACATTGTCTTATTTAAGTACTTCACACTTTACAGTGCTTTTTCAAATTCTCAGGTTTGATCAACTAAATGGCAGCTGGCAAGAGAAGTAAAATAAAAAAAGTTAATATCTGTTTATCTATCCTGTTATTGTTAATTTGTTATGTTACTTTGCATGTAATGTTTTTGATAAAAGAAATGAAGGCAACATTATTGAATAATTAATTTTTAGCAAAATTTATTAGAAATTCTGATTTTTTCTGTACAAAAGACTTATAATGTTTATATAAATTTTGCAAAGATACATAAATCATATTGTATCACCTATTTTGATTCCACCAAATGTAATTCTAGGTAACAGCATTGAGCCAAAATAGGGGTTTGTAGTTTCAGTAACTAATGTCTACAGTATCTCCAGCCTTGTTTCCTTACTGTTTTATGATTCCCTATTTGTAGGTTTATAAAATTCCAATTTTTTATTTATCTTGTTCATTTAGGGACACAAAAGAATTACAATGTCATATAAATGTTGCAGTGAACAATTAAAATAATCTTTATTTTACATACATCTGAATTATATTGTTCTTTGTTGAAAAATTGTGTATTACAATCATCTGTCTAGTAAATAATCTTGGAGAGAGGGCCCTGTATGTATTCAGTGTCATTTGGTAAAAATCTGATGTAAAATGTACGAGTTAGCTTCATTTGATGAAATCTTAGGTAATCTGTTTTCAGTTTTGGGCTTTGGATTCAGTTTGGATTAAAAGTTAAATATACAGCACAGTAAGTGAAGTTTCTGGGAGTCTTGTAGTCTCTTCAGTGATTCAATCAAGAGTTCAGTATTAGAGAAACAACATAAATGTGTAGGCTAAAAACTGCATAGTTAGGCCTGAGTCTGGTATTATTTGGGAAAGTGAAATATTTTGTACATGTGGCTAATAAACCAGTTATTAGAGCAACACAAGTATTGTCTGTCATTGTTTTAAATGGTTGAGCATAACACTATTATAATTTAACTGGCTTTCAAATTAAGCTAATAAGTGCAGTAACATATTTCCCTTACTTGACTGAAGTGAACTGATTGATAGCAACTTTGAACCTATAGACCAAATAATTTAAAAGCTACTGTGAGAATGAGCTAGCCATTTACATAATTCTGCAAAATTAAAAATTTCTGTTTTTACTGGTTATAAATAACAGCAAATGTCAGAGAGAATTAAGGACATTTTTGAAAGGCAGTATGCGATAGGAGGGCATGGCATATGGGTTTGACTTTCTGGTTTATATTTCTGTAAATCAAGATCACTGGAGGCTCGAAAATTATATTATGTCTTCGCAATATCTATACTATAAGTCTGTAATTTGCATTAAAACTCAGAATCTCAAACAGTGATGAAAACATATCTAAACTGGGTAATATAGAGCAAACAAGTGTTTTGTGATATAAAAAAGTGAAGATTGAGAATTCATTTAAATATGTAAAGTAACATTTATAAACAATATTAAAATTTGATTTGTTAACTATTTTTTGATGCCAAGTGTGATGAATACATTGATAAGAAGGTAGTTTAACTAAATTTTAAATGTAACTGTAAAAAAGTTTGTGCCTTACTTGTATCCAGAGGGCTACGATGTAATAAATTGCAAGCAGGTATACTTAATATATAAATTTAAGCTATGTATTTCAGTAAGTGCTCAAGATTTTACACATTAACTACAACAAATAAAGCATATATATCTAATATACAAATTAAAGCTTGTTATTTTACAGGGTGCTCAAGCTTTTCAAATACACTCTACAATGTAACATGCAAACACAAATAGCAAACAAGAAACTTTGACCAACTTTTTTTTTAAATGATGTACTTAAAGTTTGTTATAAAAACTATCTTTTCTGAATTTGCAGGATTATATACACCTGGAAAAAAGTTAAGCACCCCCAAATATTTTTCAGGATTGCTTATTGAAAATAAGGTTTAATTTTCATGATGTTGAGCAATGTTCATAATTTCAAACATAATT